ACATAAAGAAAAGGTTTTACTGCACCGTATCATCACTGGAGATGAAAAGTGGATACACTACGATAATCCTAAGCGTAGAAAATCGTGGGGTAAGCCCGGCCATGCATCAACATCGTCGGCAAAGCCGAATATTCATGGTTCGAAACTTCTGCTCTGCATTTGGTGGGATCAGCAGGGCGTAATTTATTATGAGCTGCTTAAACCTAATGAAACTATCACGGGAGCTCGCTATCGACTTCAGATGATGCGTTTGAGTCGAGCTCTAAAAGAAAAGCGGCCACTATACGGGCAGAGACACGACAAAGTCATTTTGTTACATGACAATGCTCGGCCACATGCGGCAAAACCAGTCAAAACTTACCTGGAAACGCTTCAATGGGAAGTTCTACCTCACCCGCTGTATTCACCGGACATAGCCCCCTCGGATTACCACTTGTTTCGGTCGATGGCGCATGGTTTGAGCGAGCAGCGCTTCCATTCTTTCGAAGAAACCGAAAAATGGGTCGATTCATGGATTGCGTCAAAAGATGAATCGTTTTTTCGACGGGGGATTCAATTACTGCCAGAAAGATGGGAGAAAGTGGTCTCTAATGATGGACAATACTTTGAGTAAAGTTATTGTAAGCCTTATATTTAAATTAATGTTTTTTTTAACAAAAAAACAGCGAGAACTTATTCAAGGTCCTAATAGAATATATCTTTCCGGATTTGGCAAGTCTTTCTTTATCTAGTCTGATATTTGGATGATAAATTAAACTTGTTTTTAAAATAAATCAATTTTGGTAGATAAAGATCATAATTTATCAAAATATCTTATTTAATTACATTAACAGTTATATAATATATTGTATAAGTAATCTTGAACTTATAATTATAACTTATAACTTGTAACTTATAATTATATTAATTATAATTATATTAATAAACTTTGGCTATAATATAAAGAATAAAAGTTTCTCTATCTATGTATATTTTGAATATTAATTTTCAAAAGATTGTCAAATTTAATTCGATCAAATTTCAAAAGTAAATTTTGATTTACATAAATAAGAATAGCGTTTTTATTTTGAAAGATAGGTAGAGTAAGAGGGTGGGGCAAAGAGGGAGAGGCATTGAAATTGACATAGCCTTCTAAAGTGACATATTTCTTAGAATTGAAATCTTGCGTTTTAGTAAAACTGATATATATATAATATAAACGCGATCTGTTAGTTCAATTAGTTAATTTATTTAAAATCCATAGTTTGTACATTTCCTGTTTATTCATATACTAAATCACCTTATATCAAACTCTTTGAGCCTGAAATCTTTGTTTTTGAGATTATTTTGGGAATTATATAATCTAAATAACAATAATTATCTTTTATTACTTAATTATATGTGTTTTTAACAATAATTATCTTTTTTGATAATAACAAGTTATTCTACATGCCAGTAGCTTTCTTAAAGTATTTTACTCAACAGTGCGTGATTTATTGATAAATTAATATAGATGGACATACATAAATTCCACTTTAAAAAGGAATTGAATTATATCTATCTAGTTTTTTAT